ATGTCATATTTTTGGTGAGCTGCCATGCTTCGTGTTACAACGTTCTTTCAGAAAAGAAGCCAGCTAGGCACATCTCAGTCTTCTCAAGTACATGTTTAAATGCCAGCTTTGATATCAATAGCATGTGTTGAAATCTTTCAGATGCTGATAGTAATGACTTTTTAAAAAGTTATCTAGTCATTCATGGTTACCTCCTTCCCATGCTTGGACATGTTGGATGAACTTGTCATGTAATTTCCACGTGTACATGGTCATGCAAGACCCTGTTCCAGTTTGACTTTCAATACAGAAGCCACTTACTGTCACTTCTGCAGCCTCTGTCACACCTTTCTGTACACGTCCCAGTATTTTGAGATGGGTAAGCTGCATCTGAGGTATGAGATGGCTACATCATGTTGAGGTAGCCATATGCCACATTTGTATAACAGTAATCATAAAAGATTACTTACACAGAAAAAAAAAATAGGAGGGTAGAAGAGAGAAGTGTAATTAGTTTACAAATTTGGATAATCTCTAAACCAACTGAATCTCTTCAGTGTAGGTATCTGTTTTATTACTGCTGACTTCCCAAGATTGGGTCACAGACCTTGCCAGAAGGCCAGAAACCAGAGGGCTTCTGCATGCAACACCACTCCTGGCTGCATTTCCACTTCCATGGGTGCTCCCAGCAGACTGTGGGGATTTCTGCTATGCTTCACAGAAGCCTTCACCAATCTATCATTGCATCTATGCTGCCAAAACATCACCCGCTGTGAAGCAACTTCTTAAGAATCGTTTGTGCATCTTTCTGGTAACACTGAAAGTCTTGCTCTCAGCTTTTACCCCAAATGTCATTCTTTGCCATTTCTATCAACCTGATGACATCCCAAATATGGTGAAGTAGCTCCAATGACATTTATTAATATCCACTCTTGGCTCTGGTTGACAACATATTTTGCTGATGTCATGTCAGTTTATATTTCTCCTTCAGCCTTTGATGCTGAGCTCTTTTTATTGCTTTGTTTGAAGCAAGTGGGTCTCTTGCAAATAACTTGCCTGGTTTCTCAGTGAGTACCGTACTACTCGTCCAACTCTTGGCTTCTGTGACAATACTATCTCCTTTTCCATTCTCTTTGCGGCTCCCATTGTTAGCTGTTTTGCTCTTGTAATGGAATTGATTTTCTGGGAGTCAGATTCTACAACAGCCAAACTGTTTTATCTATCATCACATGTAACAAGTCTGGAAGACATCCCAGTCCATCAAAAAAAAACAACATCATGGTAATTTACTAGCCTTCTTGCTGCCTTGATGGAACAGAAGATTTAGTTCCTCCTGCTATAGATTCAGTTTGCCAATTGTCTACAAGAGAAGCATTTCTTTTGGTTTCAGGGGTTGCTAGGGTCATATATTTTCATAAAAGTAGAGGCTTTGTTTTTCTTGCTCTCTACCTGAAATCTCAACCTGTCTCTTCTCCTTCAATTACACCTATTTTTTGTTTGTTTTTGTTTTTGTTTGTTTTGTTTTTTGTTTTTGTGAACATCCCATCATATGATTTTGATTTGATTTGTTTTGCTGCAATTTCACTTTCTTTCTTTGAAAAAGGCTCAGGGTGCCTTTGTAGCATATCACGCTGAGCCATGTTCCAGGATCTGTCCAGCTTTTGGCCTTTGGCTTCAAGTATATTCATGACTTCTGCCCTTCTCTTGCACCTGGTACTCCACCAAGCTTTATGGACATTTTATGGACATTGAGCTCACTGACAAGGAAGAAGTACTTAATTTCTTCACCTCAGTCTTCACTAGTGGTCAGGCTACCCACATCTCTCAAGTCCCTGAACCTCTAGGCTGGGGCTGGGGGAGCAGAGTCACTCCCACTCTAAGCAAAGAGCAAGTACAGGACCTCCTGACACAACTTCACAACTACAGGTCTATGGGCCCTGATGACATGCATCCCAGAGTCCTGAGAGACTTGGCTGATGTAGTCGCCAAGCCCCTCTCCATCATATTTGAAAAATCATGGCAGTCAGATGGAGTCCTCAGTGACTGGAAAAAAGGAAACATCGCTCCCATTTTTAAAAAGGATCGAAAGGAAGACCTGAGGAACTACAGACTGGTGAGCCTCACCTCTGTACCTGGCAAGATCATGGAATGAATCCTCCTGAAGGCAATGTTCAGGCACATGCAGGACAAGGAGGTGATCTGAAACAACCAAGGGTAAATCATGCCTGACCAGGCTGGTGGCCTTCTATGGTGGAGTAACTGTATCAGTCAAAATGGGAAGACCGACTCATGTCATCTACTTGGACTTCTGTAAGGCCTCTGACATGGTTTCGCATGACATCCTAACCTGTAAAGATATGGATTTGAAGGGTAGACCATCTGATGGATAAGGAATTGGCTCAATAGCCCCACCCAGAGCATGGTGGTCAATGGCTCCCTGTCCAGGTGGAGACTGGTGATGAGTGGTGTCCTTCAGGGATCTATCTTGGGACCTGCTTTTCAGTATCTTCATCAATGACACAGACTCAGGATTGAGTGCACCATCATCAAGTTTTCAGATGACACCAAGCTGAGTGGTGAGGTTGAGACACCAGAAGGAAGGGATGCCATCCAAAGGGACCTGGACAGACTGGAGAATTGGGCCCACATGAACGTAATGAGGTTCAACAAGTCCAGGTGTTAGGTGTTGCACCTGCCCTGGGGCTATCCCAGACATGAGCACAGCCTGGAAGAAGAACTCACTGAGAGCAGCCCTGTGGAGAAGGACTTGGGGTTTCTGGTGGACAAAAAACTCAACATGAGCCAACAGTGCATGCTTGCAGCCCAGAGGGCCAACTGCGTCATGGGCTGCATCAACAGAGGGGTGGCTAGCAGATGGATGGAGAGGATTGTGCCTCTCTGCTCTGCCCTTGTGAGGTCCCACCTGGAGTCCAGGCCTGGGGCCCCCAGCACAAGAAAGATGTGGACCTGTTAGGGTGAGTCCAGAGGAGGGCTACAAAGATGAGCAGAGGGCTGGAGCACCTCTTCTACAAAGAAAGGCTGAGAGAGCTGGGGCTGTTCAGCCTGGGTAAGAGAAGGCTCCAGGGAGACCTCATTGCAACTTTTCAGTACTTAAGGGGTCTTATAAAAGAAATGGAGAAGGTCTCTTTACTGGTGTAGATAATGATAGGACAAGGGGGAATGGTCTTAAACTAAAAGATAGATTTAGAGTAGACATTAGGAGGAAATTCTTCACTGTAAGGGAAGTGAGGCACTGGCACAAGTTGCCCAGAGAAGCTGTGGATGCCCCACCCCTGGAGGTGTTCAAGGCTAGGCTGGATGGGGCCTTGGCTAACCTGATCTAGTGGGTGGCGTCCAGCCTAAGGCAGGGGCGTTGGAGTTAGATGATCTTTAAGATCCCTTCCAACCTGAACCATTTTATGACATTTGTTTTCATTTGTGTGTTTTGTGGTTGGTGGTTTCCTTTGCCATTTTGTGCCACACAGAGATAATGTAAGTTCAAAAACCCACCTCTTGGATGCCTGCTTGTTTCTTGTTCCTTCAATTTCTTTGTTTGTATATATATTTTTTCATCATGGCATTCAGGGAGTTTTCTCTGTAGTTTGTGTCCCCTGTATATGGGCAGGCTCCCCGTATTTATGACACCACATTTTCTGGCAGCAGTCCCTTTGCTTACCCTGTCTTTGCTCTGTCTGTGGTTGGAAGACTGCCCACTAGATTTGCCCAAGACCGTAAAAGTTACTGGAGTTACAAGGCTGTTTGGTTCACTCTCCTCCCTTTGCCTTTCATCCTGGTTATGAATCTAACTGTTTCACCTTTTATGAGCTGCTCTTTGCTTAAGTCTGGTTGCTGCACGCTCTATCAATTAAAAGTCCCTTGTTCTCTCTATCTGTGAGTGGTCAGGCCGAAAATATAGATGTTTCCTTCATATATCTGGGGAGTTGAGTATGCTTTTTGAGCATTTCTAGGATTTTGGATGGAGCCTCCTACTCTGCCACTGCTCAGTGTTGTTAATGCAGGTGACAGCCTTTCCAACCACACTAACATGATGGTTCTTAGTTTTCCATTGTTTTTTTTTAGTCATATTCTGGCAATTGTCTTGTACCAGTACAATCAAAAGAAAATAATTTTACCAAAAGAATTGGTGAATTCAACCCTTTTCAAGAGCATCTGCTTGGGAACAGGAAATTGGTCACTACCACAAGAACTGTTTTCTTTGTTTGAGGAGGATTGCTTGCAGTGTTGGGAGAACTCTGGAGGTTTTTTGTTTGTTTGTTTTGTTGTTGTTTTTCTCTTTCTCTGATTTGTTTACTCTATTGGGAAGTCTTCTGTCATTGTCAGCTCTATTTTCTTGAAAAATGGCTATGCCTGAATAAAGACCACAGTCCCCTTCTCCTCCCTCAACTGAGGGACTAAGTGCCAAATTGCTATAGCTTTATAAAGGGAATGAGTAATGACTGCACCATCTTCTCTTAGGACAAAATCTAAGGGGAAAATTACAGGTCTTATTGCAAACAGTACAAAATGCTCCAACATGCTTATGAACAGTCAGCTTTATGCTATCAATAATTTAACAATGCCTAACATAAAAACTGTTTTGCCCCTTTGCCTGCTGTATACTCCTGTATAATAAGTCTGTACAGTCTATATCACAAATGTAAGAGACAACATTTTGCAACAGTCTTATCCACAGTGCTCTCCTAGAAGTGCTATGCACCTAAAAATATGGTAAGCATAACAATGAAACAGTAAAAAGTGTATCTATCTGATAAAAAAGGGAGCAAGAGGCAGAACTTTCCGTAAGAAGTGCTTCACACTTTGTGGAAGTCATTCAATTTCCAGGCTAAAAACATTTTTTAAAGAATTTTTTCCCAAATCATGTTGTGGTTATTGTGATGTAGGCACATTCATGTAATGCAAGGAATTTCTTATACATTTTCTTTGGGTACCAAAACATTAAGGAGGTGCCTGGATGCCAAGAGTATTCAGTGTCACATTCCTGAGGAGCAGGACATGAATCAGTATTCAGCAGCTTGTAACTCCCTGTGCTTAAGCCCTGAACTGGTGCCGGGTGCTGTCGCTCCACTGGAGGCAGAAGACCCTGGGATCCAAAGAAATCAGCCAGGCCCTAAGAAATACAACACAGCAGATCCTCTCAAAGGATGAAACCCCAAATGCCATCAATTTGCGGTGAGTTCTGCACATAACTGTGAGAGAACATGTTTTGTCGCTGGGCTAAACACCACAGCTTCTCCCAGAAGCCCTAGCCCTTCATCTAAACAAGGCTGTAATCTCGTGTAATCTTGCTGGTTGCTGGTGAATTAACCCCCCGGGGCAGGCTTCCTACACACCACCTAACACTGGTGAGCAGATAAGGACATCTGTGGGAGACTGCAGTGCATGGTCGCCTACTCCAGCAGAGAGGTTTCCTGGGTTGGTTACTGTTTGGTTTACGTTAATGTTATTTTGATTATTTATGTCACGGCACTGTTGTATCAGCTGCTCAGGAAGGAGAAGGTGGGACAACATCTTCCCAGCAGCTCCAGTGTCCTTGTCATAGCAAGAAGTACTCTTCTTGTTTGGTGGAACAAACCTTCCTCTGCCTCCTGAGACTGTTCCCTACTTACTGGAGACTCTGGACATTCACATTCTGCTTAGCAGTGGGAAAAAAAAATGTTGGGGTATTTAAGGCATGCACTTCTATGGCTGTAAAATTTGCTCTCAACAACCTATAGTCTGGATTACAAATGCCAGAAAAATTATAATAATATCTCTACTACTTTTAGATATTGATCCCTCAATCTACCCTGTAAAGAAAATAACAATTACTGCAACGAATATTGGAGATTACAGCTAAACCTCAGGAGCCTTACAGCTATGGCTGCAGACTGGGAGACTGGCTTATCTTCTGACTCATAACCCAAACAAGCTCCTGAATGTTCATTGTACATGGGAATAGATGAGAATGCTCTGGAGGAACAGAGCCAGGAAGAACAGTACTGAAGGTAGATAAGGTCAGACCAATTCTGGTAATAAAGGCTAATTAGTAAATCAGCAATGGAGTGTTTCAATAATGTAGGCTGCATTGCATCAGAAAAAGGAGAGACAGAGAGTACCACGTGTTTGAGGAGATGGAAAAACCCCAAAGGAATGAAGTCAGCACTACTGAAGAATTACCTTTATTTAACCATTGAAGGGCTGAGAATTTGACCCATCTCAGATACTTACAGTTATATTCACTCAGAACTTTTTCACTGTGGAGACCAAAGAGATTCAGAGAGGACTTTACCTGGAAAGGAAGGAGATGAATGATGTTTGATATTAAAATGACGTATCGTGTCTTGAACAGGAGATTAGCTAGAAAGTTAACACCCAGTAAAACCTCTCAGTTCACTTAAAAGAGATTTTCAAGACTAGAGTAAGAAGTCATTTAAACACTTACAAATATGAGCTGACATGTCCTGTTGCCATGAAGAGAAGAAATACTAATGTCAGTCTAAAATAAAAGATAAATTATACAAGTCATACCATGAGTCCATATCAGATGTGGCACCAAACATTATTAAGAGTAACAATGCACTACTAGAAGAGGATTTACAGCAAAAGTAAAACTAAACAAAGGAATAATTGCCAAGTATGTCATTAACTTTTGCCTCGCATGTCAACAGGCCTGACTTTGTGCAGTGCAAAGGAGTGGGAGTAAGAACAGCAAAATTTCCTCTGCTTAAGATCACAGTGGCATTTTTATGAAGCCTCCACATGTGAGCCCTCCCTACGAGGGCTGTGACACAGCTGTTCAGACCTGCAGATACCAAGTAAGAATGAAAGACAGTTTTTAGTAGTCTGGTAAGAGGTGACCCTTCTGTACATATAGAGTTACAGAAACTAAACGGCGAGGGGCTGTTTTCACCATAAACCACCTGCTGTGAGCACTTGCAGCACCATAGACATGGCAGTGGCACTCAGAACGGTAGTTGGTTCACCTTTCACATCACTGTCACTGGGGTGGTAGCTACAGGTCCTGCTTCTAGAGCAGGATCCCAATGGCTGGGTGAGTCTCTGCACCTAGGAATAGCAAAAAGTCTGTCTCTTCTCCTAGGAGTTCATAGAATCATTAAGGTTGGAAAAACCATCCCCCTACCACCACCAATGTCATCCACTAAACCATGTCCATAAGCACCACGTCCAACCTTTCCTTGAGCACCCCCAGGGACGGTGACTCCACCACCTCCCTGGGCAACCCGTTCCAATGCCTGACTGCTCTTTCTGAGAAGAAATATATCCTCGTTTCCAACCTGAACCTCCCCTGGAGCAAATTGAGGCCATTCCCTCTACTCCTATCACTGGTCATCTGTGAGAAGAGGCTGACCCTCAGCTCCCCACACCTTCCTTTCAGGTAGCTGCAGAGAGCAATGAGGTCTCCCCTTGAGCCTCCTCTTCTGCAGACTAAACACCCCCAGTGCCCTCAGTCACTACCCATAGGACTTGTGTTCCAGGCCCTTCACCAGCTTCATAGCCCTGCTCTGGACATGCTCCAGGGCCTTGATGTCCTTCTGGTAGTGAGGGGCCCAAAGCTGAACACAGCACTTGAGGTGCGGCCTCACCAGAGCAGAGCACAGGGGGATGATCACCTCCCTGCTCCTGCTGGTCACACTGTTTCTGATACAAGCCAGGATGCCGTTGGCCTTCTTGGCCACCTGGGCACACTGCTGGCTCATGTTCATATTTCTTTCTCATCAGAAAGGAAGGATAGAAAGCTCTGAAGACGAGGAAGACCAGGCTGAGTGAAGAGTTAATGAAACGATGAGATTACAAAGGGCAGAAAAGCTCAGTATGAGGTGAGAGTGACAGGATTTCACGTGGCTTGTTCAAAGTTCTTTGTTGTAGTTGTTGTTGTTGCTTTTATTAATTCCCAGGTAAGATCAATCATCATTTAACAGCTTTCATCAAAAGATTCACAGCCTTCGTTCAATTCTACTCAAACCACCAAACATTCCTGGGACTTCCTCTTCAGTTCCAGCTAAACCAGGTCAGAATGGCATTTCCAGTGTTTATAGTACAGAAAATCTGCAGGCCTTTCTAAAGATACCTCCTGCCTCTCCTCCCCCTTGTCTATAATGATGCGACAAAACATTGCCTCCCTCCACCCCCACCCCAGCCCCCAAATTGTCTCCCTCCCCATGATCAGTTCAGATCATGATAAATCAAAAAGATGCCATCTACAGTAGTCCTGGTGTGGATTTTTTGTTACAAAATGGAAACTGTCGGGACCCATATTTAATAGAGAAACATGAATTTAGAGGGATTATTTTACAGTATCAATCTGATGTTGATCTATATTGAGTTGGCAGAAAGGTTATTTTGATTATTTTTTTTTAAGGGAAATTGATGATTTATTTTCTCATGAGCACTGTCTGGAGTTTAGTAGACTAAACTCTTCTTTCAAATAACTAGTGTGGAGAAAAGGTGTCATTCCTGTCTTTCAAGGGGGCAATCCAAGATTTTGATGGAAAAGTCCTTCTTTCAGAGCGTCCAAGGATGATTGTATTTGGGCAGCAGTTAATCTAATCAGCTACAGGTTTTTGATCCTGATGAGTGCTCCAGACTGGACTCTGTGATGCTCCAGCTTTAAGAATGCCTTTTTCTTGGTCCTTTCTGAAGAAAGGCTCAGCAGTAGGTGAAAGAAGGTGATTTGTTAACCAGTCTCTCTTCCTGCTTTCCATATACCTTTTGTGTTCTGGATGCTAAGAAAATGTGTGTGATAAACAGCTGCAAAGTGGAATGAGTAGGAGGATGTAAATTTTGTGAATTCCAGGAAGACTTAGTCATGAGTTTCTCCCTGGGCAGCACTGTCATTTGGATGTCTAACTGACAGAAACAAATAAAAAGGAAAAATTAAAAAAAGCACAGATTTAGAGGATTTTATTGGAAAATCAAATTCAAAATAACTTACCCTCTCAAATAACAAGTTGTGAGTAATAGTTGTGCCTGACAATACAGTTCTGATGCTTACAGAGACATTTAGGGTACATATATAGAGCTTTTAAAGAACTGTGAAGGGAGGCTGTGGCCTCTGATCGCCTGGTGAGGAATGATTCATGCCCACGCTCTTCATGACAAGCACTCCTGGAGTAGACTGACGGCAGCAGAACTTAAAACAAACCTTGTCTTGGTCCTTCCCAGTCCAAGAGCCTTTCATATCCATTCCACTTCCCCCTGCAGTCCCAGCTCCTTGGGACTGGTGCTGCACCCTGCCCAGGATGATAGAGCACATCAGAAAATGTCCCATTACTCCCTGGCAAAGGTGACCCCCAGCTTGTTCCCACCTGCACCTATAGCTTCTGGGCAGATGATGGCAGAAGCCCTTCACTGCGATGATATAAATCTAAGGATCCCCTTGATTTCAGGTGGGAGCTGCTAGAACAGTGGAGTCTGGAGGGCATCTGGGATGCATTTGATTGACCTCTTCAGAGCCAGCCCACCCGTCTGTGCCCCTGCAGCAGTGCTAGCTGTGCTTAGGGTACCAACCCAAGACAGTTATCGAGAGAGAGTCCTGACAACAACCCACAAGTACAATGATTTTATCTCAGGAAGGCAGCATTGTGTCATGCACACAGGGGATGTGGAGGAGCACAAGACCCCTGAAATGCTGAAATGTTGAAATGCTGTTGGGTTAAGAGGTGAAAGCATGCACAGCCCACATCCTCACTGGCTATGTGGAGCAGATCCTGGAGTGAAGTCTTCATCATCCACTTTTGGGTTTCCTGCTGGGAAAAACTAGTTGGTCCACAAGAAAAAAATATACATGCACAAATTAGCATGTATGGTAGGTGGGCAATCATCAAGGCAGGGCTGGAGGGGCCAAGCTGCAGGGTAACTTATGCAAAAATGCATTCTTCAGTACCTTCTGCTCCTTGGAAAATCTAGAGTCTCCAGTCCCTCACAAGCTAACAATGCCTTAATTGGGAAAAAATAAATAAATAAAAAGTAAAGAAATAAAAAATAAAAAATAAAATAAATTTGCCATTCCTGCTTTGAACATACTTGTAAAAGGAGTAAGATGGAAATACTCCATTTAATAGTGACCCCAATGTGATGTACATATATGGTGTCCCTGTCCTGGAGAGCTAGCAGGAGTGCTAGCTGTATTCAGCTGGGGATTTCCAGAAAGTCTGAGAGTTTTCCTTTCAGTCTCTGTGATGAGTCTACCAGTGAGTTCATGGATTCCCCCCTGACTCATCCACATTCCTGCTACCCTCCTGGCTGGACCCTGGGGCTTTCATTAACCCCCTCCACACCTCTGGATGCAGCTGGGGTATCTCAGCAGCAGGGATCTTTGGCTAACTCATCACCCTGGCACTTGTTTTATTTCCCAGAAACCCATGTCACTGGTGTAGCCTGAGTGTACATACCACTGACCACAGAGCCTCACTGGAGCCACTTCCCATTCCCTTTTCCTGACTTTCCTAAAATTAAATTTCCCACTTAATTTCTTCTTGTTGTTTCACTCACAGCAGTGAGAGTTATTCTAGAGACCAGAATTTGCAGCTGAAGACTAACCAGCACTACACACAGTCCTTAGCTAAAGCAGGACTCTGCCCTCAATAAACCATTTTCTGACACTATGCACTTGACTGTATTTGTTATATTGGAGGTTATTATTCAAAGCCGTACACTGTAATATGCCAAGCATTACATTTAAAAACAAAGCAAGTACAAGGTATTCAAACACAAGAACAATAACTTTTGTTAAAAAAAAAAAAAAGAAAAAGAAAAAGCAAGCCTGGCTGGAACTGTATTTCCAATTAAAGGACTTGTAGTAAAACTCAGCTGCTGGGTAGGAAGTGCAGGTGGCATTTTCTGAGTCATTATTGAGCCAATTTACCAGCTTGATGTGAAGGGGTCATTGCACTGCATCACATATAAGAGATATAAAACTGAGATCTTGGTCACATGGTATTCATTAGTTTTGATGTATAAATGATAGTTCTTTTTCTTGGATGAACAGAGTAGATATATTTTTAATGGCTTTTCCTTTGTTTCTAGGAGAACCTACCTCTCAACCTAAGTTGTAATTTTGATTTTAAACTTACCAAGGTGAGATAGTGCATGCAACACTGTTGTTACCTGCAGCAGGCACCACTTAATGCACAACTTTCACAGCAGGAAGGGCAGGAAGGGGGGAATTCTGTTCTCTGGTGCACCAGAGGAGATACTACATTATTGCAATTACTGCAAAGTGGCAAATGTTATTTTAATGACACCCAGCTTGGTAGTTTCCCAAGGGTGAAATCAATATCTTGATGGTTAAACTGAAGCTACTGTTATATTACTGAGAACATATGTATGACCTCATTGACAATATTCAGAATATTGAGCTGAGAAAGGGAAATCTTCCTGATGAAATGCTACAGACTTCCAAATTCATCTGCGAAACAGAAAAGACGTTCATTTAGATAATGCTAGAAAACAGCAACAAAGTAGAGATAGCTAATTATAGGCAGGGTTCCTTCTGCTGCTTTTGAACATAAGCAGTAAAAAGGTCACTCTGTCTCTAATTGAATTGTGCTATGTTGTGCTAATCTACCTAATGTCCTGTTTGCAAATATAGCATCGTCTCAGACACTTTGTGCCATGTGGGCTAACATTCTGATTGTGCTCTTCATTGCACTTGTGCATTTTGTAATTAAGTAACTGTGATATCAGAAAACTGTTGTTCCATTTATAGCTTTACATTCCTATGAATGGACATTGTTACTGAATTCTTTCATAAAACCTCATATTTATCTCACATATTTAGAATTTTTACTTGTAAAAATACTCTTCCATTTGAGCCTAGGGAGATGTCTTGCAGATGGTGCTAGGAACTTTACTTCTGATAATAAGAATGCATTTTTGATCCTTCATCTGAAAGCAGGCATTATATTTACCATGGGCTTTCAGAAACATGTGTAGGTTACACTTTGCTTGTCTGCCCCTGCTCTGCCCAGAGAAATGGGAAGTATGTTGTAGGTTAGGAGGGGATTGTTTCTGATATGTTCATTAATTTTTAGAAAAGATAACCTTAGGAGCAATGTTGTTTTTGCAGATTTCTATCTGTCTTGCTCCTTCCTGTTCTTTTAAGACTTTGTGGTACACTTTTATGGAATTTCTTGACACTGAGGTAGTCAGGACTTCTGTAGTGAGGAAAACATTATTTAACATCTATATGAATGCCAGTCAGATACCCAAAAAAGTGGGTTTGTTCTGTCCAGACAGTATGACTTGGTAGGGCTGGGAAATCCTGCAGGAACATGCTCCTAACCTTTATGTGTTTTCATTGCTGAAGAGTAAAGACATGTGTGTAGAAGATGCTTTGCTCTTTCCTGCTGTGAGTTGCTCTCAACTTCTCTCCTAAGTTACCACTTTAACAGCCTTAAGCATGCCTGACTGTGTCCCTAAGGACTCATCAGATATTCCACTTCATGTGGAATGAGATCAGTAATTCAACTTGGTGTCTTTTCTTTCAATTCTTATAACTGAATGTCAACATTTCACCGGTTTGCCATCTTATGGGAAATTGGTTTGGTTGGCTATGTTGTCAAGAAAAGGCAGGAAACCAACAGAGACAGGTAAATGAACATGCATTTTTGGAAACTACTTATTAAGGACACATCTATTTATGTCTGTTCTGAACACAATTAAATGGATGGAAGTATTTCCAAGACAGCAGTACTTCATGTTAGAAGGTGGAAAACCTTTCTAGTGCAACAGAGGAAAAACAAATCTACCCCACCATCCTTTTATAAGAATAGACAGACATCAATAGTCTTTGGGTCAGGCTCTCCATTCCGATGTTCATTACTTAGGTTAGATTGGGAGTAACTCATTAAACTGGCTTTGGGTTTACACTGAAATGATAAGGTCCTGGCCAAGTCAAAGATTTACTTATTATTATTTCATGGTCATTAGGAGCTGGGAAAATACCTTTCCTAGTGTCTATAGGGTTCTTCTTTCAGTGTGGAATCTCTTATCATCCAATTGCCATGTACTGTTTAGCATACCAACTCTCCACCAAAAGGTGAAACAGATTTGTAGGAGGCTTTTATTTGCCCCTAGGAATTACTATTGCTAGAGAACTGCTTGATTTAGAGATGTGGAGGTAAATTTGAGCTAAGCATGGACAGTATTTTGTTGAAACAGGGCATGTGAGTAGGTGGTAGAGATAACTGCAGGCTTAACATTGCAACAGGTGAGATGGTAGCGTGATTTTATGACCTTTTATTTCAAAAATATGCAGTTCATCTTAAATGGTAATAATAATAATAACTTAATACCAAAGCAAGCAAGTAAAAGCAAAACATCAAACAAAAACATTTAATCATGAAATCTGCAGCATACAAATTCTGTGGATTTTTCAGAATGAGCAATTTGTTAGTAAACATGAGATTTTACAGAGAGAAATGATGTTATAGAGAGGTGTTTCATAATTGCATTACTGTACCCTTACTGGCTGAATACCAACTGGTTTGAAATTGAGCAATGCAACTATAACTTTTTTGTACATGACTTAATAGATATTGTCCTTGGCTTACTGAAATTGGTAACATTTTACGGCAATCTTCTTTGCAAACAAAATCTTGCTCTACAGTTCTGTTATGAATCAGCAGAATCCAGCTAATCATTCAGATGAACTTCTCTAACTTTTATTATAAGAAAACTTTTTTAAAGAACATCAGTATTGATATGCAATAGTTAAAGTGAGAACTTAGAAACCGAAAAAGAAGCTTATATGTGAAAAATACTTGTAAATTATTTTCAAGTGCAACACCTATTCAACTATTGGAAAGAGAAATAAAATTCCATACGGAGGGTGTCCAGATCCAAAAAAATAATTTTAACAGTTCTCTTTCACTGAAATTTATTGAGACAACATGCTCAAAATATACTGCTTTGTAAACAATTTGTATTGTCATCTGAAAACTACTGTCTCATTGACAGTCAAGAGATTAACATGAGGAAAGCAGTTCAGCCTCAGTGAGACCTGAAAATGCAGCTATCCCTTTCCAAGTCATTTCTACTCAAAGTCAAAAGTTTTAATAAAAACACTAATTATAGTATAGAACTCCTATAGCAAATGTCAGTGGTTCTCTGAGTGACAAGGAAAGCACACATTTCATTAAATAGCATGTGAGCAGAAGCTGGCCTGGATTATCCCTTGTTCTTAGGATGATTGCAAAAATTATGAAAAAATATCTTCATATCATCTGATGAACCTATCAAGTAACTATAGGTCAGAGGATTTTTGTCTAAAGATTTTTCCAGTTGAAAATGTCTTATTTTCCCACAAAATGTTTAGAGTGTATCAAAATCCAGCACACGTAAATAATTTTGAAACTAAATTTTGAAAATCTTCCAAACAAGACTTGCAAAACAGAATGTTTGGAATGCAATTATCTTATTAACTGAGGGTTGTTTTTTTGTTGCTGTTTTATTCATTTATTTATTAATTTATTATTTTTATTGCTTCGTGTCTGTATATATTCACAAGTTGGAGATTGTATATAATATTATGCAGCAAATCATATGCAAACAAACATAAAAATACACAGTTTAGAAAAAAATGCTTAATGAAATACTGTAAAATATGTAAAAAATACTGTAACAAAAATATTTAATATAGCATTCACATTTCAGAGGAATTTGAAATATCTATGTTTCTGAACTGAAACAAAAATAAATTTTGGATGTAGAAGTTTCTAAGAAGAGGAAGCCGAATTTCCATTGCTCTCATTTAAGCTGTTCCTGCAGCTATCAAAGGTCAGCACATTCATTGAGCTCTATCTCAGCACCATAAACCCACACAAAAAAAAGAGTTATGCCTAAAAACTTGTTCGTTTTTGAAAACTCATGTATATTCAGTCACCTTTGACTTTCATGCTCACTTTCCAAAGACTATTGCACATTTTGAGTGTTAGCATCATAAACACCCAGAGAACCAGATGGTGACCCTAAGAATCTCTCACCTCTATAAATGTTAGAAATATAAAGTTATAACTGAAATACTTGCTAATAGGAAAATATAGCAAAAAGCTGTTTTGCTTAGGACTATGAAGGATCTTTCTTGGATCTGATGGCTTTAGGCAATTGACAGTGTTTTGTGAGTAATCAGTTCCTCACAGGAGGCCTGTGTATTTGTTGGGCAGTGATGAAGCAGTGGTTGGAATGAGCTGAGTGTGTGTGGGTGACAGACAGCAAATCTCTGTAGGGAAGTTTGGCACACGTCTGTTAGACCTGGCAGGTCTGCTGTAATTCATTTTTCAAATAAAAAACAACGTTGTTTATTATTGTTGCTGTTGTTGTTATTTATATATAAATCACCAAAGTACTGTATTCTGTAAGGTACATATAGGCAAGAAAAATCTGAAAAGTGTATGACCATGGAGAGAAAAATATTGCAACTGAATTCACAAATTCACAACTTGAACAATCTCTGTATTGGATGATTTCTTCTCTGAAATTAAGAGATTAAAAAGCAGACCATCATGTATAAACCGTTTTTGATGTGTAAGTCTGAATATATTTGCAATACTAAATCATCCTATCAATTACTTTCAGTAGAAAACAGCTGAAAGTAATTGCAGAT